ACTAGATAATACACTTAAAATGTCTTTCAATGTACTCTCAACAGGTGAATCAGATTGACGTGGTTAATAATTCTCTTTAAGCATCAGACACAGAGAGTGGTCAAACACCGAACTTAGTAACACTATAAGCCAATCAAGCTGGATTCATCAGAGATCAATCACCCTAATCGAGAAATAATTACATACTCGCTGATGATGCTTCGCCGAGGGTTCTTATGTGCATTTATCTATATATCTATACATATGTAATATTGTAAATTCTCCCAGGTATTGATCGTACCATCCGACGCATACAAACTAAACGAAAATTGCATTTCGATTGACACGTTATTTCGTAGCGTCGACAACACATGTATAGCTGAACGGAAATTAACTAAATCGTCGATTGACTATTTCTGTTTTTTTCGTCTACTATAGTAACTATACTTTTTTTTTTTTAACTATATTCACTTTACTATTTTGGTGATAGTTAGTTATTGATTTTTAAAAATTGAACCCATTGAATTTTTACAGAAAAAACTAATGAATTACTATAATACTTCATAATAATTGAAGAAGTGATGTCGTTAAATTTTTGTGTAGGAGGCTAGGATTAAATTCCCGGCACCGGTAAAAAATAAAATAAAGAAAATTTTTATTGCAAATTAAAGAATTGGAAATTTTTAATTGATAATAGAAAAAACAATTTAAATTTATTGACAATTAGAATCAAAGAAGTGAAAGGCAAAAGGCAATATTGAAAAAATAATAACTCTTTTTTTAGTTCCGATAGACTTGCTAATGCAGGGATATAAATTTAAAAAAATAAAAAAATATCCGAGAGATAATATTCACGACGTTGAATAAATGTAAGAAGAAATGACTAGAAAATTGAAGGATTGAGCCATAGCTAATGTAACTGGGATTGAAATCTGGGGTCTTTTGATTGCAAGAACGACTCTGGTTTGCTCTTCCAACAAAGCTATATTGGCCTCGACATGATATCCAGTTGTTCCCACTATACTATATATATATATACAAATACAAATACACACCATGCACACCAGTATAGTAAAACCATACTACGGTGTTCTACAAAATCCTCTCACTACAAACTCAACATCATGTGAACGTTGTTTTTGCCGTTGATTTCGTGGTACAATTAAATTAATATAAATCGATCAATATCGGTAGTAGAAGTAGCAAAAGTGATGTTAATTATTGAATTCCATTTTTTACCGAGAATTCTGTTGCATGTGTACTTGCGGACTTGTAGACTTGTTAAATTATTATGTGCTTGGCTTTCTAAACTGTTTATTGCAACATTACATCGCGATTAGCATATGAGAAAATATTTTCCACGTATCTTATTCTTACTCTCTTTCATCTAACTAACTATTTTATTTTTTTTTTGCAATATTCTATATGTCGAATCGCATGTACTTGTCAAACATAAAACACCGCCTCCACGAAAATAATTTATTGTAGATCAATAAAAAAAATTAACTCTTACAGCTGCATACATATTACATATATATCAATACAATTTATACTATCAATAAAATATTAATAAATATCCAGACGGAGTTAATTTAAAAAACCGATAGACTTTACGAGCATGTATTTTATTCGTGTAATTTTTTGCTGACTGAAATTATGTTTTTTTATAAATTATCACCATCAGCTCATCGTGTTAATTAGCGCGTTACCTCTAACTAGTGAGTTGATTAAAAAAAAGGAAGAATATATTTATAATCAAAATGTTACTAATTAAAAAAGAAAAAAGAAATTCAACTTGAATTATAAATATTAATGACGTAACGTCTAGATAAGTGTGGATGAAGAAGCAATTTTAAAAAGTGATTGTATAGTATCAAGTATACGAACTTACAAAACCGGTGACCTTTCCTACCACTCTGGACCAAGTTCTTTTCTCCAATTCACTCCCGTCTGCTTACTTATTTACTTTTGTATCATTTCATTCACGAATTTCGCTTTCACGGCCATGGTCACGGTCACGAGACAACTTCACTGGTTTTAAAAGTACATTTCATATAACACATAATACATATTTAACTATTTATATTCAAGGTTTATTACAAAAGCTAATTTTTTTAACTTGTGTATTTACTCTTTGAATCTTAAAGGATAAATATTGTATAAGTAAATTTAATCAAGGAACGAATGGATTCAATTTTTAATTATAAATTCGATTGTTCGTTAAATAAAAAATTTGAATTATTATCAGTCGGATTAAAGTTTAACATAAATTATGAAATACTAATATTTATAGCAATAAAAATAAAACACTTTATTTATATAGAATGTTATTTTCAATCTAAATTTATATCAGAAGAATATACGTTTATTTTGTTAATTATCACAAATCGCCCGTTAATTTATATTTAATTACCGTAAACGATAATTAAACAGTTAATATAAATTACTTTATAATAGCAAATGTTTTTTTCGGTTTATTGTTAAAAAATTCTTTAATTTTTAATGTGGACTTGTTTTTGATGGAAATAGAAAAAAAAAAAAAACAATATAAAAAACTAAATTGATGACTTGATTTTTTCAAAACTGATAAAAATGTCAAGAAAAAAAAAAAGTTTTATCATGACTTTTACGGTAATGGTTAATCAAGGTCTCTCAGTTGGGCACGTGCCGAAAGAATGTTTGATTAACAGAATTTTTATTTAACATTGAAACATTTTGATGAAAGAACGATTGTTAACTACAATTAATTGAAGACAAAAATAAAATTTAATTGATTTATTTTTTACTCCAATAACTAATATATATAGTGAACTTACACGACTATGTACATTTATTAAACATAAGTGAAGAGAAATAAAAAATTAAAAGTTAATAATATCAAAGCTAGCAAATCCGTTCACTAATACATAATACTGATATCGGCATGCATCTACCAATTTTTTTATGTTATTTAAAAAATAAATTGCGATCAAGAAATCTTTATAAAAAATTGCATTTACAGTTTTTTTTTTTTTAAATTATGTTTATAATAATTTATTTGTTTGGAAGGATCCTTAAAATTATAAGATGTCTTAATTTCAGTATTATTACACAGAAAAAAAAATTGTTCTTGAATCAAGTATATAATTTTGAAGAACTTAATCTTCTTGATTTGAGTATAAAAATACATGAGCTATTAAATTTTTCTCGATTTAAGGAAATTTTTCTTGATTTAAGAATTATTTGTCTTGATTCAAGACAATTACCCTCTTCGAAATTATTTTCTTTGTTTAAGAATTTTTCTCTCGAATCAAGTTAACGACGTTCTAATTAGCAATTGGTCTAACTCCGTATTTTTTAGGTAATTTTTCAACATTTTGATGTAACAACAGTCCAATTATAAATTATTTAAATGACCCAAACGAAAATATTATACATCTATTAGATATTAAATTGTTTTTTAAAGTGATAATAAATTTTGAATTAATTGTTTTTTTCGCACAAATGGAAGATTTTCTAAAATGGAGTTAGACAATTTGCTAATTAGAACGTCGTTAATTGTTTTTTCAGTATATTAATACAAATTAGAAAACATGTTTTATAAAATTATATAGCTTATTGATTTTGATTTAAAGACCTGAATGATTAATTCAACTACTAAACAATATGGTAGGATCTTAAAATTTTGACTCTAAACTATTTTAATCCAACATAGCAAACTAAACTATTCAAGTTAATTAAACTGGAAATAATTAAAGTTACAATATTTCCCAACGATGACATTCCGTCCGTCCTCCAAACACGTAATTTCCTCAATTCACAGCAAGTGTTACTCATGTATTCCGAATGATCATGATTAAATCTTTCGGCGACTAACTTTCAATAGAAATCGATTTCCTGCAAGTACTAAGTGCTTTTCGCCGTCAGAAAAAAGTCCTCGAGCTCGTGAAAAAAAGGCAAGAATAAAAATAAAAAAAGTTGAAGACCGGTAGAAAATTTAACCAAGTCGTTTCTATGCTCCTCGTCACCCTCAAAAACTTTTAGTATTAGCTCTTATACTTAAACTCAATGGCAGTAGTTTCATAAGTATTGAGCCTCGCCTCTTTTACATGTATATGTACTCTCGTCGTCTTTATTCCCTTAACCCATCACCCATCACTTACATTAGCTTCTCGCTATATTTATCTGTCTCTCTTTTTTGCTTATTTCCTTTGGTGCACACAGTAGTAAAATAACTCGCACGAGAAAGTGCAAGCATATCATCGCAGCAGTACAAAACAGCGCAAGCGTGTATTCCTCGTACACGCGACAAAGTAGCTATGTGTATACCATCATACGCATTCGTGTACCATTCGTCGCGTAACTATACTAGACCTATACTCACGGTGCAACGACCTCAACAACAAAATGATCTGTCGTCGAAACATCCTGTAAACTATTAATTTTATTTTATGACTTAATCAGCCAAATCTCATCAAGAGTATCCACAAAAAAAAAAAAAAAAAAAAAAAAAAAAAATGAAAAATTAATCTTTAAAATAAATTGTAGAAGAAACATGATAAGGATGACAAACGACAAATATTTCTTAATATAGATCAATTGTGTTTTTTGCTTCACAATTCATGATCCATTAATACCTTCATAAACAAATATATAAATATAAAAATGAAAATAATTGTAAATAAAAATAAATATATAATAAAAACAAAGAAGCTTCTAACATATACAATCGTGGACATTAATTTAAGTATGTTTTTAAGTTTTCTGGAAAATGGCCATTTGTAAACTCGAACATTTATAAACTATATAAATTTTAAAATTAGTTGATAATGTCATTTGTTTAATGATATTTATGAAATGGAGAAAATTTCACCAAATATAAATTCAGTCATTTATAAAATAGCGAAAAACAAAAATTTGTGGCTATATGAATTTAGTAAATTTTTACGGCAGAAACTTATAAAATTAGCCGATTATAAACTTTGTGAATTGTAAAACTAGCTGTTTCTAAATCTCTCGTAATTCTTGTCTAGATCGACGGATCAAAAAAACGATTTGAGGCATCTAAAAGAACTTTTATAAATTTAGTTTTTCTGAAAATTAGAGCAGATTCGACCGACCCATTCAAAAGTTATAAGAAGTTTAAAAACGGTTAATTTTACAATTCGTAAAGTTTACAATCGGCTAATATTATTAATTTCTGTAGTAAGAATTGGCTCAATTCACGTAGCTACAGATTTTTGTTATTCGCAATTTTATAAATGACTGAATTTATATTTAATGAAATTTCATGACATTAAAGTTAGCTATCACTTGACAATTTTTTAATTTTATTTAACAAAAAGATTTTTTCCAAAAAATTATTTCAAAAAAATTGCATTTTTTATTTTTTTAAATTTCTAAATGTCAATTTTTTTTTCTTATTTTTTCTGGCCATAATTTATTTGTTATAAAATTTTTTTAATTATTAAATATGTGCTGCATTAATTTTCATTGAAATTTCAATTTCGCTAATTTCATTTTTTATTAGCGACTAATTTTACAAATGGCATTATCAACTGATTTCCAAATTAATAAAAACATACTTAAATTAATGATCATGATTGTATATATAAGTTAATTAAAAAACAATGTGTAGAGAATTAGCCTCTAGATTAGCGTAATATCTTCATCTCTCTTACCTGTCGGAGCTCTCAGAACTGTCGTATCGATCGGCGCATCGCTTCTTGCCGCAGGGTCCAACGAGGGTGTCTTCAGCAGCTCTAATCTGTCCCTTAAAAGGACTGCCGAACCTAGCAACAACCTCGACATCACTCGACATGGATTTTTTCAGCTGCTTGTGCTGGTGCAAATCTTTAACAGTTTCAGGGATAGCTGAAACAGCGACAGCAGCCGCAGCAGCATCTAGAACCGTGGTCGAAATCGAAGTTGGCTCTCTATTCCCATCTGTTTCACAATTTCCAGAAGCTCCGTATTTAACTAAAACCACAATATCATCTATACTATTTTCATTAGTCACACTTTGCTCGAAAATCATACCTCTAATACGCTGCTCCTTTTGAATTGTTGACTTTTTCAACAACCCAGCCTTGTTGTTAGCCTTCCTATTAACACTCTTACCATTTTTTACTCCATTATTAGGTTTTAATTTATTTTCCGGTACATCTTCTTCGTCTTCATCGTCATCATCGTCTTCTTCATCATCCTCATCTTCATCCTCCTCATCATCTTCATCTTCATCTTCATCCTCATCATCATCATCATCATCATCATCCTCCGCCTCATCTTCACCATCACCGTCACCATCATCATCAACCACATCACAATTTTCCCACAAATTATTACCACTTTTATTAATAACAAACTTTGATATAATTTTATCAAAATTTCCGTTATTTTCAAGATTAACATTATTATTATTATTATTATTATGTTTATAATTATGACAATCACTAGCGTTATCACTACCATTGGGTCGTGTTGTATCAACAATAAATCGTGAATTATTGTGATGATGATGATAATGGGGATGATTATTTACATCAAATAACACCGACATTGTATCACTACAACCACCAGAATTAGAATCGGAACCAGAACCAGAACCAAAACCACTGCAGGTATTATTATTATTACTATTACTACTTGAAAAATTTGTCGTCACAGTCGTCATCATCAATTGATGATTTTCTACCACGCGTTTTTTGTGTCGTTCACGAAGCACGCGACTATCGTCACTCAGGTCGGTGGCCGCGGCTTCCTCCGCGGGCCGCCTGTCTGCCATTTTGAAGAGGCCCTATATGACCACGCACACTATTCACCCACACAAATATATAATATTATTTATTGAATATATACTTTATTGATACTACTGAAACAATAAAGCAGTCGACAATAATATTGTTATTAATAATACAAATATTATTTTTAACTTGCAAATTATAAGAGTTACTATTACTATTGTTATTGTTAATAAATCCTAACCGTGACGACACAACACACAGCAGCGCACACACCGGGGCCGCGCCACTAGCACTCGATGTGTTTCTGCAGGCTCACGACGACGACGCTCAGTCGCTCACCGTGCTCTGATGTCTTTACCACCTCTTTCTCACGCCCAGCCTTCTATTCTTCACTCTCTTTCTTCCTCTGTCCCCAGGAGCACCCGACTTCTGCCTCTTTCTACCCACACTGTCCGTCTCATTCACTCTCACGTTCGATCAAATGTATTCGAGGGTGAGACACACAACTGCTCCCACATCCGCGGCTCCCACTAAAAGATTCTGCGCACCACTCACCTACAGGGCTGTCTCATCCAATAAAAATCGCTTTTTATTCCTTATGTCTCTTCATTGAATCTATTTTATTTTATTATTTTTTACTTACACTTTTATTTTATTCTTCAGATTGTCATATTTTCATTCTTTTTCAATGATTTTTTGCATCGGTGAAGAGTATTTTTGAAATGAGCAGACATTTATCGACGTTACTGAAAATTAATTCCATTTGCTCCAGCTGACTAGCAACAGGAAGACTATTGGTTGACTTTAAATTAACACAGCCAATGAAAATTTTGTTCTAAAAGAAAATTACCCAGTATTGGATTATTATTATATTATCTATTACTGCGCATATTAACCATCAAGAGGTTAGGAAATGTCACTTATCATGGAAAATAATCTTTTACATCTGATGGTTAAGAACATTACTTTCTTACCTATATATATTTTTTTTTTCTACAAATTCTACAATCTTATATCTTATATAGAGTAATAAGAGATGAAAATAACAAAAATTTTGTCACAATTCGGATGAAATATTGATGCCGTCACAAGAATAATTGTTATAAAAAAAAATTTTTTAAATAGTGCTTTTGTTTTAAGTATGATTGATTGTTTAATATACCAATTGGTACAGATACATTTTTTTAATTCTGATTGCTAAAAAGTTATATAGCAAATTTTATCGAATTAACCTAAAAATAATATAACTTTGGGGGTAAGTCAACAATTTTTTTAATTAATTATTAATTATTTTTTCTTATTCAGTTAATTATTATATTAGATAACATTAAAGTTAGCAGTCACTTAATAATTTTTTAATTTTATTTAACAAAAGAATTTATCCCAAAAAATTATTTAAAAAAAATTGCATTTTTTATTTTTTTAAATTTTCACATGTCAATTTTTTTTATAATTTTTTTTTGTCATAATTTATTTGTTATAGAACTTTTAAAATTATTAAATATAGGCTAAATTAATTTTCATTTATATTAGACATTTGATTTTTTAATAATACTAGAAAATAACAATCGTCTGACAATTTTTTTTGTAATTTAAAATCATAAAAAAAAAAAAATAATAGAAAAATATATTGAAGTAAGTTTCATATGCATTTTTTCAAATTTTTATTCTATTAATTCTTAATTTTTTTTTATTAAAATTAAATATTCTGTCAAAGTTTTGCTATTTTTAGTATCTGTTTTTCAATTTTGAACTTTTTTTGTTAGAAAACTTGAAAAATGTCAATATAATTAATATCTGGTGCTTATAAATTGAAAAAATAATTTTTACATTCAATACAATTTTTTTTTAATGCAAATTATACAATTTTGTAGCAAAATTAACTTAGATTTATTTATAATTTTCAGATAATTAAAACAAAAAATCAAAAATGGAAGACGACGGAAGCATGTCAGTTCGTTTAACGAACGATGACTTTAGAAAATTGTTGATGACACCACGATCATCAGCACCATCAGCAACTCCAGCATCAGTACCTGGTACAGTAAGAGACGCGAGTGCTAAAACAGCTCAAACTCCGTCAGTTAGCGGAGGCAGTCGTGCTGAATTGCGTAGAAAGAAAAAAAGTTACTATGCAAAACTAAAAAAACAAGAAGAGGATAAAATGGCTGAGTTGGCTGAGAAATATCGAGACCGTGCTCGCGAAAGACGAGATGGTACAATTGGAGAGCTTCCGCCTGAGGATCCAATAAGCAATGCCAGTGCATACCGAGCAGTTGCTCCGGATGTAAAATCTGGTATGGATGCTGCTGAAAGAAGAAGAATCGCGATCCAGCAGTCGAAATTTTTGGGTGGTGACATGGAGCACACTCACTTGGTCAAAGGTTTGGACTATGCTTTACTACAAAAGGTAAAATTTATTTTTATTAAGGGGGTGTTCTAGTCTAGAAGCATGAATTTCAGGTAATTTTTTTAAGTAAAAAAAAGGCAATCAATATTTTTATTATCAATTTTTTTTAAGTTATTTATTAATATTAGAAGAATACAGAGAAAAATAAAAAAAAGTTGAAAATTCAAAAAATTAGCAGCTGATGAAGTAGGGGGGGGGGTGTCTCAAAAAATTGGCACGTGACCATGCTCACGATTCCAACCCTCCTGGCAATCTGAAGTAAAAAAGATTATTAATCTATAGTAATGTCGCTATGTCGTGAACTAGGGAAAAGTTGAAAAAAAATTTTTTCACAAAATGGCGACTGCCTGAAAAAAAAAAAAAAATATTTTTTTACTACTTTTTTTGACTTCTTCGAATTTTTTAAAAATAGTAAAAATTGAAATTTGGAGATGATCGTAGTTCACGCCATAGCGACATTACTCTAGATTAATAATCTTTTTTTATTTTTTTATGTATTCTTCTAATATTAATAAATAACTTATAAAAAAATGTATGGTAAAAATATTGTTTGCCTTTTTTTTTTACGGCACTTCAAAAAATTACCTGTAATTCATGCTTCTAAACTAGAATGCCCCCTTAATTTTATTTTTTGTTAATCCGATATTAATGTATTTTTTGGGAATTATTTATTCAGGTACGTAGTGAAATAGAGTCTAAGGAAATAGAACAAGAGCAAGAAATGGAAAAATTAATAAAGCCGAAAGAAAAAGTTAAAGAAAAAAAAGAAGTTGAAAAAAAACCCGAAGAAACGCTCTTCAAAACAAAAGTCGGCCGTAATATTCATAAAATAATTACAACAATGAAATCTAAAACAGTTGAAAGGAATGAATTGTTTACACCAGGACGTATGGCTTATGTTATTGAATTGGAGGACGAAAATGCGGAAGTCGATATTCCTACAACACTAATAAGAAGTAAAGCTGATGTTCCAACAATTGACGCGACTCCGACATTAACAACAAATGACATTGTTATCAATAAATTAGCGCAAATTCTCTCTTATTTACGTCAAGGTAACAGACACGGAAAGAAAGGAAAGAAAAATAAAGACGGGCGTGGAAAAGGTGAAGAAATTGGGGAAATTGAAATTCCCAATCGTCCGCCACAAGACGACAGTATTTACGGCGACATTGGCGAGTATGTACCCAGTCGATCTAATAAGGAAAGCTCATCAGCGAGTAAAGAAAAGAAAAAGAGTTCGTATTTCAACAAACCACCTGATTCGATTGAAATGCTCGATGATAAAGTTAATGCCCCACAACTACCGAATATACTGACACGAGTTGCTGAAGTAAGTGCATCAGCTACTAAAAAAGGTAGTCTTCATAGTATTCATAACAAAATTGCTCCTGAACCGGAAGGATATGCCGAGTGTTATCCTGGATTAGATGAGATGCAAGACGCTATTGATGATTCAGACGATGAAGTTGATTACACCAAAATGGACTTGGGCAATAAGAAAGGCCCGATCGGAAGGTGGGACTTTGATACTCCTGAAGAGTACAGCGACTACATGAACAACAAAGAAGCACTGCCTAAAGCTGCATTTCAGTATGGTGTCAAAATGGCTGATGGTCGTAGGACTCGTAAATATAATAAGGAAAAGAATGAAAAGGCTGAGTTGGATCGCGAGTGGCAGAAAATTCAAAATATTATGAACAAACGAAAGCCAGCAGGCGGTAGTAGTGGTGATGGTGCACCAGAATTTAAAGTACCAAGATATTAGATAATTATTATTAACTATAATAAACATTTAACTTACATAATTTTAGATAATATATTGATATGCAATAATGATTGATATTGCGTTACTAATGCCAAAAGAGCGCATAAAAAAATTTTTTTTTACTCCAACTAACTTAAAAATGTTTATAACATTTAGTTCTGTAAGAAAAGTGAATAAAAAAATTTTTTTTTGTGTACCCCCTTCTGGCTCTAAGACAAAAAAATTCTAAAGCCGAAAGGGCGTATCATTTTTTTTAATCATAATTCATTATTAGCTTTAAAAAAAAAGAAAAGTTATGACACCTATGAAGTGTAAAGAACTTATTATAGTTATCACAATAATGACTTTTCAACTTATTTTATTTAAAAAGAATATGGATTTGAATTAAAAACAAAATAACAGTAACATTCTATTTAAAGGAAAATGTATTTGACTCAATTACAAAATTTTCATTTCTATTGGCCCAATAATCTTGTCTCCACTGATAAAGTGTAATGAATTATGTTTAATTTTACAAATTACAAAATACCATCGATATTACAAAAATTTTTCCTTTCATGATGGTAACAACTGATGAATTTGTTTTAAGATTGAGGTATTTTTTCAAAGTTTAGTTTTACAAGCAATATATATTTATGATTTTTTACTTTCAGAAGCAAAAGATAATGATAATGGAGACGGCATCGGAGTAATGCCTAGCTAAATTGATATTTTAGTTTCTTCTATAATCAAATACATATTCTTTTCAAATAAAATGAGTAGAAGAGTCATTATTATTACTAGTATTATAATTTTTTTTTATGGCTAATAATTATGATTAAAAAAAAATGATACGCTCTTTTGGCTTTAAAATTTTTTTGTCTTAGAGCCAAAAGGGCGTATACAAAAAAAAATTTTTTTATTCACTTTTCTTACAGATCTGAGCGTTAAAAACATTTTTAAATTGGTTAAGGGAAAAAAAATTTTTTTATACGCCCTTTTGGCATTAGTAACGCGATATGTATTTACAAAGATATTTGTAATAAGTTTGTTTTGTTTCATTACATTACATTAATGTTAATTAATTAACTCGCAGAGTTGGTATTTTATTGAAACTCATTTATTTAACAGTTTACATAAGATACTAAACTCTATATACAGAGTTGATAACTCACGTGACAACCATTCTATTTTTTTTGTTTTTAATTTTTTTTTTTCGTTGTTATTAATTATAATTTTTTTTTATAATTAAAGTAATAATGTCCTGATTTAAATAATTAAAAGTAATAACATCTAAACAAGCTCTTTTATTTAGTTATTTATTATTATTATTATAACGATAATACTTATAATTCTATATTTTTAATTTGTATATATGAATTACGTTCATATTTATTATTACGGCACGAGAAAAAAACTTTTTTGGAAAGGCTTTTTTTTTTATTCACATGAATAACATTCAATAAATTGTATTTGTTTCTTAGAATCTATTATAATTAAAATTGTATTTAACATTTCAACTAAGGTCTTTAAAAAAATTAAAATATAAAAAATAATTTAGTCTTAAAATTAATATTTTAATTTCAACATTTCAATACTTAAATTTGTGTCAATAAAATTTATGAACAAATGAATTAACTTGAATTTTTTCGTTATAGTAAAATATACATTAATAATAAAAATTTATCTTAATTATAACGTTAATATTTAATTGATAAATATATTCATTTGATTTTTTATGTTATTAGAGCATTAATGACTTATGGGATGATTATCTTATTAATAAAATCCTCTGGTCCTATAAACTTACAAGCCTGAGAGCTTTTTAAACTCTATAAAGCACTTTTTTCCCTATAATGCAATACGGTATTTTATTATAAACTATCCAAGGGATTAACGTGTATTCTAAAATAGAGCATAAAAGCTATAGCTGAGTGATTTAAGTACAACCAGAAAAAATAGACTTGAAAATATTACATTAAATTACATACAATATTAACAACAAAAGTACTTTCGGAATTTGTCGGAGAATGAAACAATTTTTTTAATTTAATTGCTTCATAATATTAAATGAAATAATTAAAGGTAAAATAATAAGTATTCAATCTTTGATTATATTAATTTAAATGATTTAACTATGCTATATATTATATTTTATATTTTTATTTCAATTATCCCTTTAATTATTTCATAATTCAAGGAATTATTTGGGCAGGATTTCTATTTTCCAGTTTGATTTTAATGTAATTCATTAAAGTAACACTTCACACAAAGCTTAATAGTGAATTTACTTGGTAAGTATTACCCATGGCTAAAATAATAAACAGTATTGACATTAAGTAAATAGGTGGAATTATTTGTGCTGAAGCAGATGTAGTTTTTGGCAATCCATCCGCTGTGAAGTTTCTTCCATAAATTGCAAATGTCATCAAATCTTTACGTGGTTTTGTCAATGTGTATTTTAAACTAACATGAGTTGCATTTATTTTGTTGCTAACAAATGTAAAGTCTGTGACATTTAATGGATGTAGTTCAGTATTTATACTCAATGGTAAACGAGTGACATTTGATGAATCTTTAGTTACACTTGAAATGACAATTGAATTAAATGTAGTGGGATGAACAATGATAGTATTGGTATCGAATCGCTGATTACAACTTGTTGGATTTTCATCAAGGCATGAAATCACACTGCAAACTTCTACACCTCCAGTACCAATGTTTGAAAATGATCTCACTCCGTTGAATACAGCAAATCGATATCTATAAACAATTAACAAATTATTTAATCAGTTTTATACCGTATTCAATTAATTGATTGCACGATGGTGATTGAATAATCGAATGTACTCAGGAAACACAATTCAATTAATCAATCTCAAAGAGCAATTTGATTTATTAACTAATTAGATTAAGTAGTTGCTAGCCAATCAATAATTTCCATCTCCGGTACTTGTAACTAAAAATACAGCAATAAAAGTTGTATTTACATTTTTATTAAACCTGCTAAAAATTTTAATTTACTTTTGAATAATTCAATTGATTTTTTTATACACACTTTGTTCTTTGCACTGGATATGGAAAGTTAGAATTTTATCACTGCCAGTGTTTTCATTTTAATTGCGATAGCCTTTTTTTTTTTGTTTTTATTGAAACTTTTTGAGCTTTAAATTTCAATCTCGTCTCATTATAATTCATAAAAAAAAGCTTTTAAAATGTTTTTTTAACTTCAAATTAATATGCAACATTGACATTAATATTTTGGAGGACCAACAGATGAGATAAAAAGTGAAGCAAAAAGGGTGATTCTAAAATAACATTCCAGGTGTACAAATAGTGATTATTAAAAATTCTTTTTGTTTTTCTCTTCTCTCAAATCTCTTAAATCTATCTTCTCTTTACAGGTGTTATTTATTGTATACAAATATTAACTAAACATTCTACACATGAAAATGTAATATATTGTTGTAAATTACCGAGGGCGTTTCTTTTCAAATAAATAAATAAAAATTAAGCTTAGAATAGTAAGAAGAATAGTTGATTAATAATTAATTATACTCATTTAACTCGTCCGAAACAAATATTGAACTTGTGCTAATCTAAAAGATTTATATAATATAAAGTAAAATTAAAGTCATTATAACTTTAAAATTATATTGATTTTTATTTTTTAAACAGTTTTATGGCTGTTAAAAAACACGCTTTTAGTAATTTTTTTCTTTAAAATTTTAAAGGTTTAAAATCCAATAATTCATTACTCATTATTATAAACTGAATAAAATTAAAGTCTAGTAAAAGTTAAGTCTATTTCGGATGATACTAAAGTTAGCCGAGGTTTTTAATTATTTGATTATTTTTTAGTAATTGAATTAAAACGAAAAAATATTTTTAAGAAATTTCACTTATAGTTTTTGAAGTTTTTCACAAGTGACATTTTTTTTTTAATTTTTTTGTAACAATTTTTTCAATAAAAAAAAATTCTAAAAATTTTTAATTGTCGGCCAATTTAATTTTCATCTATTTCGGATATGAAATTATAAATTCAAGTTGCGTTCTATTAATTAAAAAAATATTTAAACTAAAATTGATAAAATATTTAACAAATTATTGTAACAAAAAAAAATAGTTTGTAACTATAATTCACTTTTAATTTTATTTTATCAAGATGATCAATAAAATAAATGAATTTACTTATTTTACATTAATAAAAAACATACCTATAATATTTAGCAGCACCTTGTACCATATCATCGCGATGAACAGTGTTTGTAGTGAAATTACAGCACAAGTCATTATTGCAGAGAGTTAAATTGTGAGTGCCATTAGCGGGTTGAAAAAGCTCAGTAGTGTAGGGTGAAAGATCATCCATTTTTATTTTTTGCTGCGGTACTGGCTCCTGTTGATTAATGGTAGGTATTTCGGTTATTGAATAGAAGAATACCATCGCATCGTTGGGATTTATTGGCTGGGAATGTTGACCATTAACTATTTTAGGTATTTTGGCAACGATCAGTGCATTTGCTGATTTTTCGCTCCAAATACGTGCAAAATGACCATCCTTTCCGCCGTAAATTCCACTACCGCCGCTGCCAGTTGCCGGGTTGTTGTAACCAGAGCCAAGGAAGTTAACATTATGTGCGTAAGACCATCCAGTTTGAATTTGATTCGCAGTAAGGAAGGGCAGCTCTGAAAACCAGTGGCTTGAAAAAATAATATCTGTTACTTTCTTCTCACGAACGAGCTTTATCGCCGGTGTACCAAACAGCAAATCGAAGCATATGAACTGCCCGAAATTAACGTCAAAGTCAGTCCGGAAAGTTGAAATATCTGGCTTTGACGTTCTGTTCATTCCAGCTTCACCGAACAAGTTCCATTTTCTGTACTTGGCTACTATAGCTCCAGTTCTATCGAACACTAAATTTGTATTGTAGAGATTGTGGCCGTCCTTGGAGCAATTTTCACCGGTACACTTTTCCTTTTCACGTACATTTATCACAATGTACATAGCATGACGTTTTGCCGCACAAGACATGGCCTTCACAGCCTGATGAAGTAAAAAAAAGTCGATTATAAAAGTTACACATCAAATACTCGGATATTATGTATACATATATTTTTAGTTTAAATATAAATTATTGGAAAATTATATACGGCACGCGTCTTTAAACTATTCTTGCGTTATGAATTTTATTTTTATACATGTACGTAACTAAATTATACGTCAATACTTGGTAATTATTACACTTATAGTCATAGTAATAGTAATGATCTTGAAACTAGTCCGGCTGCCCAATTTTAAAACACAGTAACTGCAAAATTTTATACCTAATTTTTTTTTTAATATTGGTCCATTTTTTATAACTTTTAGACCTTAATTTCAAGTATTTTTTCTTTAAAATATTTATATTCAAGTATTTTCTATTCATAAATCAAATTTTTCATCAATTTTGCAGGCAAATTTTTTTTTAATAAGACAAATTTCTAATTGTTAGTTAGTGTGTTTTGAAATTGGGCAGCCGAGTCGATATCTAATAATTTTGGAAATTTCTTCAATATTCACAAAAAAATTGATTTGATTCAAGAGAAAAAATCTTCAATCAAAAATACCATTTTTAAAAAAATGATTTTTTTTAGTTAGGAAAAAAATTTTGGAGCCAAGAAATTTTTCTTTTCAGAATTTTTTCTCTTTAATTAAATTAACTTTTTATCAGTGAAGGTATCTGTATTTTGGGTGTAAAAAGTTTTTTTAAATAAAAATTTGTACAAAGTTTTACTTTATATTAACACTCGGTCTAAAGAATAAGAAGTACGATCAAGTAGATAAGAATCTTATTGATCGAAAATTAAGCTCTCTACAAAAAAGTATCTTTATAATTTTTTTCGCATTTTAAGAAATTGAGGTTGAACTTTTTACAAGTTATTAAAAAAAAAAAACATACCATGTTTAGTGACTAATTTTTTTTTTGCTTTGTATAAATTAATTTGAACAAAAATTAAAAAAATTTTCTTGTAGAAAATCGATAAAATTATGGTCGCAGTTTTTTTGCAAAGTATGTCTCGAAAAATAAAAAAATTATTAGATTTCAACTCTCTTAAGTACAATTTCAAGTATTATTAGTAATAAAAGAAACATAAAATTTTTACCTCCATAACATTTGACGATGTATCGTGACATGGTACTTTAGAGTCTTTGGGATGAGGTAAATACGTACTGTGTGGCAAATAATTGCTTCGTTCATTTAATGGATATGTTTTTCCACTAAAAAGTGCATTCTCCGGAAAAACAATAATATCAACTTCCTACAATATTTTAATTAAATTTTTTTTATTAAAGTACTCTTTTGTTTCACTGAAACAAATAATACCGCACATCGAAATATTGATAATAGTCAAGAGTCTTGACTCAGAAATTCAATTCTTACTTAAGTAAGTTTATTTAAATAAACAAGCTCTTTTTATAGTGTGAATAAATTTATGAAAAAATATTTTAAATTAATTCCGAGTAAAATATTTCTCGTACCAGTATTATTTAAATCAGTGTGTATTTTTTGAAGATAAATAAAAAAGTATATACATTTTCACTTGCTGTCTTTAAAAAGGTGAGATAATTTTTTGCATTTTCGTTAGCAATGGCAGTGCCATTATCACCCTTAGTAACGGGGTGATACTCGACTACGGCACCGATGTAATAATTTGAAGTTGGCGAGGAAGCCTAAAAAAGTTAATTATTAAATCAATCAGTGTTTATTTTTGTTAATAACTATAATTAAAAAGAAGAAATAATCAATGTTACTGTGGGTGGTATATGCACTAGTGCCCTACTAAAATTTTCCGTATCGACTTTTCTAATGCACCTCCCGCACTTCCTGCAGGAATTACCCGGTGTCTTAAATAAATCCATTTTTTGCTTTGTTTAAACTCTTCTTTTTATTTATTACTGATTAAAATTGCTGGCAATTCAATGCATTGCATTATAAATTATAATCAATAAATAACTGAGAATTTTAATTTTCTAGGTAAATGAACTATCAATTGCACACCAGCGATTTCTTATCATACAATAGAAAACAAAGTTCACTTGAATTAAATATGAAGAAATGATTAATGGATAATAATCGAAGATTTAAAACTTTAATAAAAGTTGAATTAAAAAGTGTACACTTACTTGCAGCGTTAATCTCGCCGAGAAGAAAATGCTGATGAGGTACACGTAAATTGATGCGGAGAACATTTTCGATACTGACTCAAGAAACTGCGTGTTATAAATTAAACTTTTAAATTCGTATATTGAAGTCAGTTATAATCTTGGAAAATTTATTTAAAAATAATCAACTCTGTAAGTAAAAAAAAAATTGAAAATTAAAATTGCGAATTAATTGTAGAATTATTATTATATAGTTAGCAATTTAAGAGAACGAGATTTATGCTATCAAGACGTCTGACTGTCGTATGGATCCAGCCGCCGCTAATCGGTATATTGTCTCGCGCAAGTGAGAACTTGATAAAAAGGAGATAGAACTAGAAAGGAGTGTGCGCGTTTATTACTGTCGATTTTTAATAACAAAATTCACAAATGATTTTATATTGATGGAATTCTTTGTGTGAACTATGAAAAAGAAGATATGGATTTATTATTAATATTATTTCATTTCTTCACCGTTAAAGAGAGTGGTGTGTCTATTCAGAATAAACGAGAATGACAGGTGATATAAATTTTGCTTGCAGCAAGATTGACCCGAGAAATTTTGCGCATGTATCCAAAGGGGAACGTCGGATAGGATCCTGACCTACCGGGAAAAGCTTCATCCGCGCATGAATATAAGTAACCCGTGATATTTTTGTTGCAATGGATATGTTAAAAGTACCAAAACAACTTGGTAAAAATAGAATGAGAATTTATTAATGTTATTTTATTTTTTACTTTGTTTATCTTTTAAACTACAGATGTAAATTATTTATTTTATATTTATTTTTTGATTTCTAGATAGTGCGATCCTGAAAAATACTTCTCAGATATCAAGTCTTCCATCTAATCTCCTTGTAAATCACACAATTATCAACTCGAGTTATAAATAGTGAACTATGCTAATGGAAGCATTTCAAGTTCAAGATTAAATTTAAATAATTGATAACTGTTATAGATTAATAACGAAAATTAATTTAGCAGATATTTAATAATTTTTCTAATAAATAAATTACTGCCTAGAAAAAAAAAATTAACATTTAGAGAATTTAACAAATTAAAAATGCAATTTTTTAAAAATAATTTTTTTTTTAAATAAAATTAAAAAATGGTTAAGTGACAGCTAACTTTAATATCATAGATTAATATATCAGCTCTTTTTCATTAAAAAAAATCTACAGTAAAATTTAATTAGTTGGTTTTGATATTTCTTCTTTGATTGTAAATTATTTTTTTATATTCATTATCTATAAAAAATACTTTATATCTAACAAAGAATCAACTCAAATTGCGACTAATAATCATAAAAAGATAATAAAATTACTTTGCTCACTGAGAATAAGTTGAGACTTTAGTAGGTGATTCATACTTTACTATTATATCTTGACTGCTTTTTTTTTTTATTTTTGGCATGAAGTAAAACTCTCAGTTTTCTATGACAAACTTATTAACTACTTTGTTTACAAATTAGAATAGACACGTACAGCTGAATAAATATCATAATATTACTGAAGTAGCACAATACAAATATGCACTAAAACATAAATACAGCGGAATAATAATCAAACAAACAATAACATTTTAAAGCTGACACACTGTGTTCTTTATCAGCTTCTAATTAAAAAGGCATTGCTGATTATTTATTTATTTACAGCTAAACATTTATATGTTTCCAACAGATGGCATTACATATATGATTTTTATAATAAACTTTTACTTTGATTTTGTATATTGCTGTCGATTTTCTCGCATCATTGCATAATTTCGCAAAAATAAATTTTTTAATTCATAATAATATTTTTTATAACGCTAAAAATTGCATTTTTTTTTTGTAATAATGTAATTTTTTTAAATAATTATAGATATATAGATAGATCGATAGATAGATAGATAGATTGTAGGTACATCATTGATACATAAAACTTTTTAAATATTTAAAAAACTTTAAAACTGTTTTAATTTTTTTTAAATGAACTGTAAAAAATTTATCGTTCATTGATTATGCAGTGTTAGTTTTTTTAAAATAAATATTTATCTAAAAAAAATATGTTTCAGCTTGAATGCACAGTAATAAATGAGTAAAAGATGTCTTTCAGCTGGAAAAACTAATTTTCTGGCACATTTAAAACTCTTGGCAGATCTACAAGATAAGTGATTGTTTAACTTCCGTCATTCTATTTATCTTCAAAGGTAAGGTCACAAAGTCAAAGTAGATTCCATGTATACAATATAAAACCATAAATGAATCACGACCATGACAATAATCTTAAGAATTTCTCGAAAAATTTTCAAACATATGTTCTAGTATGTCTAATATCCAAAAAGAAGTAACAAATGGTGAACACATGAAGATACCACAATATCTTGGATTTAAAAACGAAAAATTCTTTAAATACTTCTCGAATTTCTTAAGGGGGCGGGGGGTTTCGAAATTTGAATTTTTTACTTTTTTGGAACACTTTGAATGGAAAAACGCGATTTTGACGAAAAGAAATCGGCTAATTTGAGCCTTGAAAGTGTTCCAAAGAAGTGAAAAATTGAAATTTCGAAAAATCCTTCCAGCGTTACCTGGGGAAAACTATTAACTAACGAATGAACATTCATTTTTTGATTTCACATGATCCACCACCAAGTTATGAGGGGCACCGCAATTCTACTTTTTTTTTCTAAGACACGTCCGAATAATTGCTGCTGCCATTGCCGTATTTTTTAATATTTCTACGTGAATATTTTATATAATATTCTTTGAATGTCATATTTTACTGTACCATTAGTTTTAAAGAGATCTTAACTGCGTCATCGCAAAAAAATCACAAAAAACATGCCTTTTTTTGTACGAATTAACCTTACCCCCCCCCCCACCCTTAATTTGTTCTAATCAAAATTTTAATTTGCAACAATGTTTCTGTTAACAATGTAATATAATTAAAAAATAATATGATAAATGTTGATTAATCTATTAGCTTTAAATAACTACATTATTATCGGATAACAATTTATAATTAATATTAGTTTAGATTATACTTATTTTTAAACTGATGTCCAAGAAACAATGAGAGATATACATGCATGAGAGCATGGATTGCATATAATAAATGACAGGAATAGAGGTCATACTCGAAATGCATGCGTATACTCCGAGACCTGAGATAACCAATAATTCGAGAGAGAGCAATGCAATAGGAGAGAGAAAGAGAGAAGTTACGATTGTAGGATTTCCAAATGTTCGGCTCTAAATCTATATTTATAATTGCATGCATATATTTATTGATTCAATCGAAATGCAACCACGTAAAACCAATTAATACTGATTGATAACTGACGATGAACAATTTATCGGTGAACTATCACCCTGTCAGAAGAAAATATCTTTTATAACCAGTTATTTCCGGTAAGTTTATTATCTCACATTGGGGTTCACCAGAACATGACCCATTTGAAAATCATATTATCATAACTTTATTTTTTTCTCATGCCATTGTGATGACCTACACATGTGTTGTTCAAGATAAACTGATACAAGTCAGATTAAGAGTCAAAAAATGCAACAGAATGACCCAGCAAATTATCTGTAAAATTTTCCATTATCTTCACTTAAAAAAAATTTAACTTGAATCAAGAGAAAGATCTTGAACCAAAAAAATAATTTTGAAGAGTTTTATTGTCTTGAATCAAGACGAGAAATTTTTGAATTAAGTAAAATTTTCTTAGTTTAAGAATTTTTCTACTCCAATGAAGAAGATGAAGTTCTCCAAAATTATTTACTTGGTTCAAGTAAATTTTTTAATCTGTGTTCAGACTCTCAAAACTTAAAATTACTAAGAAATTCATTGTGTTGTTCATATCCATGTTTAATTAATAAAATAATAGGTTCACAGTTTATTGGAAATATTTATTCGATGTTTATGTTAAATTTTCACAACGCTTCATCGGTTTCCCAACTTCTTCAGGTGTCTACTCTCAGGTAATAACAGCTGACAGGTTGTTAGCCTGCCTCGATTCATTTGACATGTTTTTAACAATTGATGTTTGATAATTGAGCACCTGAAGAAGTCGGGAAACCGATGAAACGTTGTGAAAATTTAACATAAACATCGAATAAATATTTCCAATAAACTGTGAACCTATTATCTTAAAATTACTTTTCACTCTTCTAAAAATTAAAATTTGTAAAATTATACTGCTGTTATCTTTTACTGTCAGTCTAAAAAAAGTATATTGTATTTAATAAAAAAAGTGCTGAAAAAATGATCACATATATAGGCTTTAATATGTTTAACGATTTACCAAAAGAAATAAAAGACCAAACAATTATTCCTGGTTTCAAGAGACTTTTAGCCGAATGTGTTAAGGTGAAGATCGATTTTTAATTTATTGATGTTATAGAATTTATGACTTGATACGTATTGTATGATATTATATTATTTTTTATTGTATATTATTAATAGTTAAAAGGTGAAATGAAATTAAAAGACGATGTGCAAATAAATAAATTGTAATACGAGTGAATACTATTGTAATTTGTATATCTATATAGCCAAAGGCTAAATAAATAAACCATATTATTATTAAAAAATCTTACCAATCGTCAGTTTAACCACTTTAAAAATTAAATCGATACGTACAATTTCAATTATTACTCGTTATAGTATACGCCCTTTTTTTTTTATTAATGATTCTTTGAACGATTAGCTGATTTGATTGTCACGCAACAATCAGAAAAATTGATTGTAAGATTCAGTTCCTATTTTTTTATATTTAAAAAAATTCTTTATTTGAAAGCCTGACTTGATTATTTTTTTACATATTTTCATTTCCGAAATTTGAAAAATAAAAAATTATCAGACTTAGTTTCAAGAAAATCAAATAGTGAAAGAATATTTTTAAAGAATGGAATTTTTTTTGTTCACAATTGAGTCGCAATTAAATTGTCAAGCACTGTGCTTAACACTTAGAATCTGATTTATTTTTATATTATTATAAGTATACTTTCTTTAAAAAGTTCAAATTTATTAATCAGTAAAACTAAATAATAATACAGATAAAAATATAAACTTGACGAAATATTGATTAATCAAACCGTCAGCCTCTACAGATAAGTAATGAAAAAAATAAACAAATGTATACATTTATAATAGTTAGTAATATCAGATATCATAATCAATAATAACTATGAATAGTATTGGCAAACTCCTAATGTTACCAATTTTGACTGCTCATGTTTATAATTATAAATTATATTATATCAAATATAATTGAAGATAATAATGAAATTTTTTCAAGGTCTAAAACTATATCAAATTTCTTAAAAATAATTAAAGAAGCTTACAAATTTTAATAAATATAGCTAATAATTTTTTAGATTATTTCTTCGCTAAATTACACAATTTCTTCCTTATCAAAATCAATTCAAATAAATATTAAAGCGAATTAATTGTGCTCAGAAGAACTCTCGACTTAAACAATTAAAAAAAATATGTATCAATTTTAATTTAATTAAATCATTTTCTAATTACTGTACTTGAAGTACCTGGAGTAAAATTAGTTCATTAAAATTTTAATTAAAACTCAATTAATTAGAATCGGATTTAATAAAAAAAAAAAAAAAAAAAAGCACTTACACTCAAAAGACGTTTTTAAAGTATTAATTATCAGTAACTTAGCTAAAAACTTAAACACAATCTATACAAATATGAAATTAAATAATCGCAATAGTAGGGGGGAAGAATCTTGAAGGTCCTGACCCTCTAATACGATAGATAGCAATGTCTTATATAAAGTCCACTTCCCTCTCTGGTAGTTCAGTAAACTTTCAATTCGTACAAGAAAGGCGATCGATATCCACGTGAATAAACCTTCGTTACACCACGTACTCTAGAGCATAGAAACGAGACGGTTATAACGGCGTCTGGCACCGGTTCAGTTTTACTTCTCTAGTTTTTTTGTAAGTTATAAGTTATTAATTTTAAACTAATAAGTAATAATGTTCGCCAGTCGATTGTTACTTCAAACTAAACGCACATTTGCTGTATATACGGTGAATAATTTATAATAATCATTATTCTACTTGAAATATGTTTTTTGACCAAAATATGTTATCAAACACGTGTAGAGCTTGTATTTTAATGCACTTGTAGAAATTTTATTGTATCTTTCAAGTACTTAGTACGCACATAGCTTCTTGTTTACTAATTTTTTTTTGTCTTGATAAATTAATTAAATTAAATTGAAATTTTATGTTATATTTTTATTAGTTTAGTTTAATTATTTACAGCAGCTTTGAAGTTTTACGAGGAATTATGAGGTATATATTTGTACGTAGTGTAATGTAAATATAGGTAAGTCATGGAATTTAGTTTGTTTGCATGATAGTCACTAACTTGCATGAGTATAATTTCCTTGATTACTTTGTTATTCTATTTGTAGTTAATTTGCTGGATTATATCCATGACAGTACATTCTAAAAATAGTAATTTTTTTTTAATCTAAAAAAAATGTAAATCTACACTTTCTTAAATAATTTTAATACTTAGATTTATTACAAATAATTAATAATCCACTTGTTAAAAAAATTCAAGTTTAAAATGAGTCAATAAATAAATTAAAAATTGAAAAATGTTTAAGTAGGTAAACTATTAAGTAAAAATTATTAACTACGTAATTATGGATAAAGTTTTTTAGTTTGTAAAAGTTATTCCTAGCTTAGATAGAAAAAAAAAATTGAACACTTAATCTTTGCATACACTTTTTAAGAAGTTATTTTTACAGAAGCTTACCTAGTTTAATAATTAAATTATATGTAGATTATTATAATTACGATTTATTTTTATAATTTAGACGACAATGGCACAATTGAAAGTAGCAATTATAGGTCAAAGTAATTTCGCAGCAGAAGTTTATAAACTTTTGAAGCAAGATGGTCACAAAATTACTGGAGTGTTTACAATACCGGATAAATCTAATCGAGAAGATCCTTTAGGTAATTATTATTTTATGTACCTAATTAATTGATCAATATTGAATTTATAATTCTAATAGTAATTTTGTTGATTATCCAACAGCTGCGACTGCAAAAGCGGACAATACTCCAGTTTTTAAAATCAAAGCATGGAGAAGTAAAGGTGTGCCGCTACCTGAAATATTAGATCTTTACAAAAGTATTGATGTTGATCTTAATGTATTACCGTTTTGCACCCAATTTATTCCAATGGAAGTTATCGATCATCCAAAACATAAAAGTATTTGTTATCATCCATCTATTCTTCCGCGTCATCGTGGTGCGAGTGCCATAAGTTGGTGAGTTTCATTTTTTTATTATCTATTATGTCTTTTTTATATTAAAAAAAAATTGATAAATATCAATTTATATTTTTAACTTGAATACAATTTAATTTTTATCAAAAATTTCTATTTAATTTACATTTATTTAAGCAAATTATTATGAAAAAATTTTGTCTTATGAATTATGAATCAACTAACTTTAGTATTATTTTAACTTTAATAAAATACATTAAATTAAATTCATTAAAAAAAACATTAAATAAATAAAGATATCTTAAATTATAAAAATAATTTCAAGATTTTTCCAAAACACCAATCTTTATTTAATATTAAAATTTATTAGAAAAATAAATAGATAAATTGTTAAAAACTTTTCAATGTAACGTTAAACTTTGAATATTTTAATATAAAATAATAATTTAAAGAAAGTTTGTAAATGTAACAAAGTCTAATGTCAGTTTGAGAAAGTAAAAAAATCTATTTCCCGACAAACGAGTTAGAAAGACATGTAACAGTATTCAAACAGGTTTTCATATAAAATTGATTGCAGCAAACTTAATTAAAATAATAATTTATATTTAAAATAATACAGGGACACAAAATAACCAAGACTAAGTACCAAAATAGTCCTTTGTATACTGCAATTAAATACTTTAATCTGCTACCAAATGAACGTCTAAAAAAAAAAAATAAATAAATAAATATTTTTATACGCCTTTTGAGTAATTGTTTTAAAATATTTATGGTGCTTTTCATAATTTTTTTTCCCTTCATAATTTAAACTTAAGTAAGTTAGATCTATTAAATACTAAGTATATATTGTTAAAAAGTTTGGAAAATCCAAAAGTGCACGCCTCATAATCTCATTTTTCACAATAAAATTGATTAAAATAAAATATAAAAAGCAAAATAATAAAAAACAGAAAACTCCGCTATGGTTTAGTGGCGCCATAACTCTAAGGTGAGGAAAAAAAATACTATAATAAAATGTATAGATAGATATACAAAAAAATCCACAGTCATATATTAGTTTTTTATAAATAATAATTTAACGACAGTGAATTGAACGCTCATATTAATTAGGAAAATCCTTCGTGTGTTACTTTAGATAATAAAAAAAAAATTGTTCCGGTACGATCATTTTTTCGACCAATTTCCCTGCCACATACACTCATCCATACACGGACGTCCAAAAAAGATTATGTTTAATATTATTATTTATTATGTTAAACAAAAAAATTGTTATTAGAATATATATTATGTGCCTGAAAAATTATTTGACTTGACATAAGTGTACTCATTTTAACCTGCAGGTTAAGTGTGATATAAATAACAAAAAATCAATTTCAGTTTCGACAAAACTGCTTTTTTCGAAATATCGAGAGTAGAGCACAACCTCAACGCTTCGCTTATAAGGCGTGCAAAAATGAAATCCTTATCACGTCTCTTACAGTGTTAATAATTGGTGCTTTTACTTTAATAGATTTCGCGTGCCTAAAGGAGTAACAATTTATGCGCCCTTTTTACCTATGCAAAGGTAAAAGGGCGTATATTTTTTTTTTTATTACTAATCGAGTAGTAAACACATTCTACGCTTAAAATTGAAAAAAAAAATTGCAAAAGTAAAAGGTCGTATGTCTTTAATTATACGTTCTTTTACTTTCAAGAATTCGAAATTTTTGTGATCTAAAGATGAAAGGGCGTATAATTTTTTTTTTGTCTAGTTTACATATTCGTAGTTTAAAAATGATAAAAAAAAACTTTCTGTGGTAGGGTAAATGCACCAGTTGTTGACCGGTCACCAATTAGTTAACCGATGTATAAAAAAGTTAATTAATTAATATTTTACAAGGGTTTTTTTTTTCTTAAAGTAAAGTTAATTAAAAAAAAAAAAAAATTATAATTAAGTAATTTCTTACAGAGTATTTTTTATTTTTTTTTTTAAATATCGGCGCCCTTTCTTCTTGTCATGCGCGCACGCAGTCTAAAAAAAAATCTAGCTTGATCAAGTAGCGCCATAGTTTTCACGTGACAAATAAGGAAAGTTCGCTTAGCTTTGTACGGTTGTATCGTAGTAAATTTTAATAAA